ATTAACAGGAAGGGGACTACAGGTAGCAGAAAAGCTGAACCAAGAATTGGTAGAATTAATGACCTGGCTTTTAAGTGTGGAAGAGGTGTGAGATTCGCAGGACTGACTGTACAGAATAAAAAAGCCTTTTCCAGGCAAAACAGCAAAACTACAGTATTGGTAACTGTTTTCCTGGTATTCTGTTTCAAACATTGTGTTTAACTGGGAAGCACGTTGTTGGAGGATGTGGTTTTAATTCTGGCTATTATGGAAGTATTCCATTAAGCCACAAAGTTCTGTGACGTCTTTGTTCTCACAGATTCTTGTATAACAATTGCTGTTCTTTAACTCTAATCTTGCAATGCCTTCCTCTCATGTGGGTAAGTAATCCCTCGCCTTTCCCAAGTTTGCAGCATGAGGGTTAATTGCTGCTCTGTTAAATGAGATTTGAACTGGCAAGAAGATCTGTAAGGAATTTGTTATCCCTAATCCCAGCTCTGTACTCATCACCTGGACCTGAACGTGTTCCTTTTGTATATCAAGTTTACAATTTTCTGACAATCTCTCTTCATATATAAATGTGCATTCTCTCATTCTTGCTACCCTATGCAACAGGGATATAGCTTGAACCAGATGTGGGATAATGCCTATATCATGTAGAACATCAAAAAACTGCTGTTTCTGTGTGTTTTGTGGTTTGGAAAGATGTAGCCTGAGTGCTGTCTAGGCTGCATTTTTGCAAACCATAGACACTGAAATGCCAGTTTGGTTTTAGGTTGGTTTTGGCATTTCAATAACTGTGGCTTGCACAGATACAGCTTTGTAGGCTGGATGGCAAGTTAGAGCTGGGAATTTTTCTTTTTGTTGTTTGACATGTGTCGCCCTTCCATGTGCTCCTTGCTGTGAAGGCCAGTTATAGACTGGGGCAGTGGCCATTTTTTGTACTGTTGAATTGTTGGTCGAGGGTGCACTGTACAACTTAGCTGCCATTGTACTACATGCTGGGTGTCCAGTGCGCTCCTGTACCTTTTTAAGGAGGGGTGGGCTCCTTCAGGTCCATCTGCCCTTGGTCTATTCATGAAATACATGTGCTTCTTCTATGGGGGATCTTAAAATTGGAGCGTTCGGAACTACAGAATACTGGGGTGCCGTGACAAGGCTCTGTGGCTTACGCATGTATTTGCAAATGTGTGCTAACTAAACCCCTGTTTTTAATGCATACTGTTAAAGACAGCTTAATTCCATTTGTTTGCAGGCTGGCTGGCAAGTTAGAGCTGGGAATTTTTCTTTTTTGTTGTTTGATCGCTGTGTAAAGCAGAACTTTCCAGATAAATATCAGTTTTAGATGAACAGCTATTCCTCCCATTTTTATAAATATGAATGTAAAGACTATCTAAGCTACACAGAACCATCGATGTTGCTGTGTTTTTCTATATTATGTGGAGTGCACCTTGTTGATTGTATGTTGGCACTCTCTGATAATGTACCATAAATTAATCTTTTTTTTAGAGAATGCTTGCAGAGCTTAAAGTATTATTAGAAGATTTATTACTCTGCAAATGGAGATTTAGTCTCATGGTACAATTTTTTTCATTTTTTGTGTATTGCAAACAAGGCAGTTGAACAAGAGGTTGAGGCAATGTTGGAAGCAAAAAAAAAATAAGTCCGTTCACTGCTAAGGCTATCCACAATATATATTATCATCCATTCCGTTTTTCTATTGCAGCCTCTCAACTCTTTTAACCTAAAAAGCTTCTTGTAATAAAATTCCTGTCCTGGGGAACCCCTGCTAATAATTACTAATATCTACAGCTCCAGATACATAAGTATGGTGGTAGCTGGGAAGAATGCTCCTTATGTTTGTGACCATTGGAAAGAATCCCCCTTACAGTCAGCTTAAAAAATAATTTTTGTCAGTGATAACTTTTTTAGTGGGCCACAGCTCAATAAACCCCTAGCAATCTCTGGGGAAACCCTGGATGAGAAAATATGTTCTATATGCTGTATGAAGGGCATTCAAATCAAACCAGGACTTTTGAGTTTATTTAATTAAAGAACATATTTCAAGGAGTTGAAACTTCATTTATTTTTCGACATACTACCCTGCTACGTTAAGCCCAGGTTCACATATATGCAGTTCGGTACATCGCATGTGATTCACACAGGAACCGTACCATATTCCTGTGCAAATCACATGCAATTTGTTTGCAGTGCGATTGGCGCCATACATTTTGTATGGCTCTAATCGCACTACACCCACACCAAAAAGGTGCAGGACCCCTTTTTTGGGTCCACACTAGAATTGGATCTCATGGGTATTCACACCTATGTAATGAGATTCTGCACTGCATTTTGCGGACCGATTTCAGGGTCTTGTTAACTTAACATACACATCCACACCTGTTCGCATGAATGGAGGCGATTCTGATACAGTGCAACATTTGCACAGAAAACTCTGCAAATTCCGCACCTCATCAGTGTGAACCAAGGCTTATACACTTATCCCAGAGTTTAACTAATGCCTGGAAAGCTTTGGCATAGAAAGATTTGTCAGTACACCTGAACCATCCTAGGGCAGCCTGAATCACTTCATGATCATTGTGTTCACTGTTCCCACAGAAAGATTTATCTTTTGTGCAATTTCATGACAGGTTATGCATCAATTATCAAGAGTCAGGGGTTCCATGCACTGAATGTTCACAGGAATAACTGCTGTGGGTTGGAAACCACCACGGCTGGGATCATCACTGACAAACGTACGGCCATCTTTGAAATGTTTACACCATTGCAGTGTCTTACTTTTGCTGAGGGTCTCACCACCATACTGTGCTTGAAGTCTTCTGCAAATATTCATGGGTTTTATGCCTTCGTTCACAAGAAACTGTATTACCACATGCCGTTCCATGCACGCATGAACACCGTTGTCTGACATCCTGAATAATGGTGTCTGGACTGGCCCAGGACAAGTTCCAGGGAGGTCCTGTATGGGGTGGTTCAGCTTCCTGAAGTTTGTACTGTTAGTTTTATCTCTCACGTTGATGTAAAATCAATGAGGTTTTTACTTCCAAAACAGGTTTGAATGTGAATGGTGGGTGTGATAAACCTCTTCGTACTGACACTTTGACAGCTCAGACTTTTCGTAAGTGAGAGACGCCACACAGGCTATATAAAACGGTTCCCAGATTATCATCAACAAATAATGGTCTGGTTCATTATAGCTATTCCTGCACGAAAAACTGAAACCCTAACCAGATGGCTTTGACTGGAGGGTAGCTTTTAATATTATGTTGCTAAGCAGCAAATGTGTAGCCCTCATTAAAAAATTAAGGAATGTAAATTACAAACTCCAGGCAACATAATTACAGAAACATGACACAGGTGGAGGCAAGTCTCATAGGGTAAGGAAAGGAATTATTCCACTGAAAATATTGGGCTGTTCATGAGACTTCTGAGATTTCCTTGAAGAAATTGTCCACAGGCATTTTAAATGGTCAAGACAGGGAAAAAGCTCAATAAAACCAATACATTTGCATACAAGGTATTTGAGGCTACAGAAAAAGGCAAGTGTGCCAAGACAGATAGTATAGACAGAGTGCTGGGCCAGGGACTGATCTTGGAGTGTTCTGACAAAGTTTGGTGATGATGAGATGGCCATTTGAACAGATGAATATGAAGAAAACCATAATGGGGAAGATTGCAGCAGTAGGGCATCTTTAACAGTGTAAAGCTGGCCATAGACAATCAAAAGTCAACCAGTTCAGCAGGAAGCAGCCAAAGTTTCCAACAGTGTGTGGCCTTCCCTTTTGATAGAAGCTGATCATTAGACTGACTTCTTTCGAACAAACAAATTGGAAAACTTTTGTTGATCTGCAGCTGCTTTACAGCTTCAGATCCCACTGTCAGAATACAGTGTCCTGGTGTGGGATATTCCTCCCTCCACCTCAATTATGTGATTTGTAATTTATTTGTTCAGCTGCTGACTGATCGAAAAAAACAACAAAATTACTTGTCTATAGCCAGCTTTAGATGCAGAGAAAAGATTAAGGAGAAGTAGCAGGTAAAACCCACCTTCTAGCTGTCCACTGAGAATTCTTCTGGCCACTTCATAGAGTACAGTCAGGGCTTAATGCTCAGAAAGTATGCAGAATGAAGGGTTTAGGAGATGATTCAGATGGAAGAAATTGGGTTTTCCATTATTGGCAAGACATACAAGCAGTTTGAGTCTTTACTGAATGTAGAAAATTATTTCCCCTTCTAAATGTATATTAATATTAGTATTAACAATCTCTGCAGTTTCATTTACTTTACATGTTTAGTGTTTTAAGCTGTAACTTGAAAAGTTTTGGACAATTTAAAAAAGTGCACAATAAACAAAAATGTGTCATGTGAAATATCATACCATGGCACCTTATGCTATGATGTCTTGATAGGTTATGTGGCAACAAAATCACTTTCTAGTTAACCATTGTGTTTTTTGGAACAATTTTCATTTACATGCCATAGAAAACCACCTTATCAAACCCACCTTTACTGGGGAGCACTGAATGCCTTGATGTACTGTACTCATATGTAGCATCTTCAGTATTTCAGATTTGCAATTGAGAGTAAATTACATTGTGGTTTAAAGGCATTTTAAATAGCTGCGAGGACGATAACCTTGTGTCAGATGAGTGATACTATTTACGATTTACTGAACTTCTATTATAGTCATTGACATTTAACTTGCTTCTTTTACTTGTTGCGGTTCAATACAATCACAAATATACAGTGGGTGTATTTTTAGATTCTTAAGGAGTTGCATAGTTTTATATTAAAATGCAGTGCTTCTAATGTATGTATACTGTATCTATTGCTAAATTCCTCTAACACATGACACAAGCTGCGTAGCAAACCAACAGCAAGCAACTTACTGTTCTAAAGATATTCTAAAAAAATGAAACCTAAATCTTTGCTGTCAAAGTATACATGGCATGCTGGGTTTGTGTCTTCACTTGTCATAATTCTTTTTTGTCAACATCCAGGAATGGCAGAAACTCAACTATGAAATTTACACCCTGAGGCAAGCAAGACGAGAAGTGAGAACGAGATGGAGAAAGATACTGGAGGACTTGGGTATGCTGTGTACTAATCATCAATAATACAACTGTAATAATGAATGGGGCTTAAATCAGAAACTTGTATCCTTGATTTTAGATAATATGCAGCAAAAATATTGTTGCTAATAAAGTAAACTAGCATATCTGTGTGTGCATGTGTGTGTGTATTATGTATATATAATATCTTTATCTGAAATGTAAAATGTGTTTGTAATAGTGGATGGGTAGTAAAAGCTGTAGACAGTCCATTTAAAGAAGCCTTTGTACATCATCCATCTTCAAAGAATCTCTGCTTTTGGTCAGAGATCCCTGAAACATTTCTGTTGGTCTGACGCCTGGCAGAGTATATGGAAAAAATAGGATACCGTCTGTTACACAATACTTTATTATGTAGCTTCTTTATTTGGGTTTAAAGCTCAACCTAAAATATTTTTGTAGAGATTTGCCCTGTAAAAAAAATTAATCCTAAAGAATTGTGCTCCATATGTGATTGCTGATCGAACATCTGACACAGAGGCTTACACTCCTGGCTGGAGTAACACATGATAGCTTCTCACTCTGCAGTTGCTCCATTCAGAAAACGTCTTGTGTTCTTTCCACAGCATACAAAGTGTTCTGTGACTGGTAGAGTGACAGACAAAGTCTTGAACTCCCCCTCTTCCAATCTTAGAACAACTTGTAGGTCTTGTTGCCAGATGTTTGGTGCTTACTGTACCATATGGGCTGAATGAAAGTAAGCATTTTCCCAAAGCACCAACAGCCACAAATAGTAGTCATTTATTTTTCCAGTGGAAATGTCCAAAAAATGTTTGTCTGAAGTTCAAATTTAACTTTACTCTTCTAGAGTCTACTAATGTGATTTATCTGTTCAGGATTTCAGAAAGAAGCAGAATCCCTTTTGTCTGTTACAAAGCAAAGCACCATCAGTAGCCCAAAGAACATGAAAAAGGCCATGGAAATGCTTTTACGACTGGCAGATGAGACAACCATCTTCCCAGCTGGATGGGACTTGCCAGAGAGATACCTATATATTATGGTAAATGTATTTTGTCAATGATTACTGATTTTCAACTATAAACCCCACTCCCCTTACCTCCTGAGGCATTAATTACCTGATTCCTGCTGAAGGCATTCATCATATGACTATGTATTTTCAGCCATGTAACCAGTCACCAATGTTTTTTATGCCTAAAAGGGGTTGTCTGACTTTGACTTTAGGTGTCCTTTTATAGGATAACTGGTCCTATTTGAATATATGCAAAAGTACAGTGGATACATTGTGCACATGGGAACAAGAATGGCAAAAAGATTGCTACCAACTCTTTTCTCCAATACCATCAATTTTGGGAATAGAGAAACCAAAGTAATATGGGGATTTAAAAAAACCTATACAGGAACATAGTCAGGTCCATAAATATTGGGACATCGACACAATTCTAACATTTTTGGCTCTATACACCACCACAATGGATTTGAAATGAAACAAACAAGATGTGCTTTAACTGCAGACTGTACGCTTTAATTTGAGGGTATTTACATCCAAATCAGGTGAACGGTGTAGGAATTACAACACTTTGCATATGTGCCTCCCACTTGTTAAGGGACCAAAAGTAATGGGACAGAATAATAATCATAAATCAAACTTTCACTGTTTAATACTTGGTTGCAAATCCTTTGCAGTCAATTACAGCCTGAAGTCTGGAACGCATAGACATCACCAGACGCTGGGTTTCATCCCTGGTGATGCTCTGCCAGGCCTCTACTGCAACTGTCTTCAGTTCCTGCTTGTTCTTGGGGCATTTTCCCTTCAGTTTTGTCTTCAGCAAGTGAAAGGCATGCTCAATTGGATTCAGGTCAGGTGATTGACTTGGGCATTGCATAACATTCCACTTCTTTCCCTTAAAAAACTCCTTGGTTGCTTTTGCAGTATGCTTTGGGTCATTGTCCATCTGCACTGTGAAGCGGCGTCCAATGAGTTCTGAAGCATTTGGCTGAATATGAGCAGATAATATTGCCCGAAGCACTTCAGAATTCATCCTGCTGCTTTTGTCAGCACTCACATCAGCAATAAATACAAGAGAACCAGTTCCATTGGCAGCCATACATGCCCACGCCATAACACTACCACCACCATGCTTCACTGATGAGGTGGTATGCTTCGGATCATGAGCAGTTCCTTTCTTTCTCCATACTCTTCTCTTCCCATCACTCTGGTACAAGTTGATCTTGGTCTCATCTGTCCATAGGATGTTGTTCCAGAACTGTGAAGGCTTTTTTAGATGTCGTTTGGCAAACTCTAATCTGGCCTTCTTGTTTTTGAGGCTCACCAATGGTTTACATCTTGTGGTGAACCCTCTGTATTCACTCTGGTGAAGTCTTCTCTTGATTGTTGACTTTGACACACATACACCTACCTCCTGGAGAGTGTTCTTGATCTGGCCAACTGTTGTGAAGGGTGTTTTCTTCACCAGGGAAAGAATTCTTCGGTCATCCACCACAATTGTTTTCCGTGGTCTTCCGGGTCTTTTGGTGTTGCTGAGCTCACCGATGCGTTCCTTCTTTTTAAGAATGTTCCAAACAGTTGTTTTGGCCACGCCTAATGTTTTTGCTATCTCTCTGATGGGTTTGTTTTGTTTTTTTCAGCCTACACCGTTCACCTGATTTGGATGTAAATACCCTCAAATTAAAGCTGACAGTCTGCAGTTAAAGCACATCTTGTTCGTTTCATTTCAAATCCATTGTGGTGGTGTATAGAGCCAAAAATGTTAGAATTGTGTCGATGTCCCAATATTTATGGACCTGACTGTACAACGCCATAACAAAAAATGAAAAATTGTGTTGCATGATTAAAATGGAGTTACAATCATGCACCAGAGTGTGTTAGCTGCCATATCATTACAGCTGTGGTAGACACATGATTACAGTTCCAGAACCTGGCATTGTTGATCCATTGATTCATGTTAAGGTGTTCTATGTTCCTGTAAAGGCACATTTTACTTTGGTTTCTCTCTTTCCAGAATGAAGGGTATTGCTGAAAAGAGTTGGTAATCTATAAAGAAGGGATGGTGCCATGATGGGCACATTTTGTAGGGATGGTTTCACTCATGTTCAACTATATACATAGAATGGCAAGAATTTATGGTTTGAAATCAGTCAGAATGGTAGAGCTGGGCTATATTTTCCTGTTAAGTAACAATGCATACTGTTTGTGTTTGTCTTAGGACCGGCTGATTTGTCTTGATGCAGTGGAAGACTTCTTTAACATCGCTTACAAGAAGTATCCCAAAACACATATGGAAACAAGTTCAATAATAAACAAGTGAAGGTCATTGTACGTTGCCACCCAGCCCAGTTTAGAACAAGAGAGACCTCTGTATCACCAGGCCTTGTTTTCTTTGTCTAAGCTGTGAGTAATGATACATCTCAATGTTACCTTCCTGGTCTGGTTCTCAGAATGAATGTCTCTCAGTACCAAATGATGTGGAGTGAATGGCCAAAAGCCAAGAGAACCTCAGCACTGAATCTCATATTTGTCTCCAAGATGAGTTTTCAATTCCTCCACTGAAAATGTTCAGTTTCTTCCTTCTCATGAACTGTTTGACAGACTTTCCTACAACCTATCAAAGCTTCCACAGACTTGATGTTTCAGTCTTTAGAACCATGCATTTTCTGGAAGTATGTAGATGTGGGATCTGGAAATGTTGGTATACATTTTCCCATTTTATTATAATCTAATATTTAAAAAAAAAAAAAAAAAAAAACAACAAAAAAAAACCTGTATGCTGCATAGCCTCCCAAAAAGGCAAATTCGTTGACCTTTGTACTTTAAAGCTGAAGTCTAGTGTCTTAGCTGTAAAAGTCAATTAATGGTGCCAAAAATGCAAAGATGTGCCAAAATGTTGCATTTCAATGCATGGATTACAGTTATGAAGTCAGAAAAAATATAATAATTGTGGTGAGGTGAGACCAATGTTGATCAGGAGAAATGTGTCCCAGGATAATATCGGTAACATGTAATTGTAAACTAAAAAGGTATGGTAGGCCACTTTTAAAAAATAATTTGTCTTGCTCATTAAGGGAATGTGGCAAGCAGTAATGTTGTTCAAAGTGCAGTAACCTATACCAGCCAATCAGAATTCAGCCTATTCCACTTGGCTCTGTGATAGGTGACTTCTGTTTGGTGGCTGTGATTTGGAGCTCATTAATATCCGTGTTATAACGTGATATTGAAAATGTTTGAAAAAATTTACCGGATGTTCTCCTCAAGCCTCACTAACGTAGGTCTTGCTTCATGAAGATGTGTGCACCCTTCGTGAAGGTGTCTTAGTGAGCTGAATATTGTTCCAGCACATTTGGGCTACCACCAATGTGCTGTGAACTGGTGTTCTTTAAATAATAATGTAACAGTGAACACGTTGAAAGTTTAGCTATGATTTTAATGGAATCACACATTCCAGTTAGGTCTAAATGGACTTCTACTCCATTAAAAGACTTCCCTGTGCCTCTTTCAGTAAACTTAGGTGATGGAACTTTGATGAACAATGGCTAAATCAATCCAGTTGTTTTTATTATTTTATACAGCAAGTATACATCAATTCTCAGTGTATATTTATTAGCTCTTTTTATGCTTGGCTTCCAAAAGGCAAAGGTGCAATTAAAAATTACACTATGGGTTTATTCATTGAGACCGTACAAAGGGCAGTGATGATGCACATTACTCTCATCCCAATTAAGGAACTATGTGTGCAGTCCATAACTCAGAGACATGGCCAAGTCTCGAGGGGTGGATGCCTCATGTACTGTCTAAGTTGTCTTGTTCTTTTAGCAAGGGTAAATGTCTGGCGGCAAGAAAGAGCAGCCACTACAAGCAATGTACAGGTCTTTTCTTTCTCTCATGTTACAAATATCTTATATACTGTATTGCTTAAGTGAGAAAAACTGCATAAAATGTATATAATGTATGTTATTTGTTCTGCTGCAATATTATAAAGATCCTAGAGATGGATTTTATCCGACAAGAAACGCTTTATATCTTTGCTTACAGTTTACAGCCTGTCTATGAATTGGACAACTATCACAATGATGTTCCAGCAATTCCTCTGTTCATGTTTGTTTCTTTCTCTTTATCAGCTTAGCAGTGCCAAGGTGCCAAATCCCTAATAAAAACAATATTTAAAGGAAATTGCAAAAGTGTAATTATTTTTTGTTTGGTTACAGAACAAGTCCAAACAAACTAGAGAATTAAAGTAGAACTATAGGCACAACTTTTTTTTTTTCTTTCAATTTTGATAAATTGGGGGGGGGGTTTAAAATCCCTATCCGTTTATTTTTTGTCATCTGTGACCCATTGGGGAGATTTAGCTTCACTTCATATCCCATATCCAGAATAGGAAGTGCGGGAAAATCCCTGCAAATTAGGGAATTCCTTAGGGACCCCCAGGTTTCTAGAACTAGTTTCCTCATTAGAAAATTTCTCCTCTATTACTTTTCTGGGAACAACCCAAAATTTGGGAGTTCTTTTACTTTTGATGATAATAATAAACAGGACAAATATAGCGGGTGAATTTCCCTAATAGGGGCACAGATGGAAATAAAAACTGACAGGTGTCCCAATCACACTTCACTCCATCCAAAACTGAAAAACGTTTTGCCTTTTGGTAGTTGTTGTTATTTTACAGGAGTTACCTAGTGTGAGTACACTAAATAAAGTTATTACATGATACAGTGGCGGTATTACACTATTCTATTCCCCATATATTTTTGGCAACTTGGAGTATGGTGTAAGGAGGAGTATGGAGCTGGCATGCTGATGGATCCTGAGGACAGAAGGAGAGAGGGATAACCATAAGGATCCTTTATGAGGGCTATAGAACTTCCATTTGCTATTTGGATAAGGCATAACTATTTTGATGCTCTGGTAAGGGTATTTATTCCTTACTTTTAATAGAAGTGAACACAGTTTTTCACTTGTGTGGCACAACATATGATTCACTAATACACTTGCACTCTAGTCACTGTAGAGCATTCACGAGTGTGTTTATCTGTGGAGTGCATTCACTTGTAGTTCGTATATTTAAAGGATAATGCACAATGTTTTTTCTTTTCTTTTCCTTTGAGGTGATTTTGATCGTGCAAGCCTGCGGGAGGCTTTAATATTGAGATTACTGTGTGGAATCACCTGTATGACAACTATAAACACTGGGGTTACTATTACAGTTTTGGACTTTAGAATTTTGGACTATAATTTTTTGGATTATGAATGTTTTGGATTTGATAGTTCACTAACTGATATTGAGTAGCATTTTTTTGATTATTAGGAGTTACATAGTGCCAACAAGTTTGTGCATCTCTTTACAATACAAAGGGAGACAATGCAGCAACAATACATTTCAATACAAGAGGGTTAGGAGGACCCTGGTCAGATATACTTTAACCTCTTGCCGTCCGCCTGCTGTTTATAAACGGCAGGGCGGTGGCAGTCCAGGGTCGGGTTGCCGTTCATAAACGGCACCCGCCTTTTCTAGCTGTGCGCGCTCCCTGGGAGCGCACACCACCGCGATCCGGTGCCCGCTGTGTCCTCCGGACACAGTGAAACACCGATCGTCGGACGGGACCTCTGTACGAGGTCCCGATCATGTGATCACTGATTGGCGAATCAGTGATCACATGCAAAGTAGTAAGCAAGATGTCACTTGTGACATCATTGCTTACTATGTGTGAAATCTGTGAATGATCACAGAGGTCACATGGTACAAGGCTATTCACAACAGCCTTGTGCCATGTGACAAGCTGTGACCACTCACAGCTCACTCAGTAATTCTCAATGACTGCAAGAATGCAGACAGAGAGAAAGAGAAATGATTGCTTTTACATCCTATATGGGTGTAAAAGCAATCAGTGTAAAAAAAAAAAAAATCTTCATCACCCTCCACAAGTAGTACAGTGTCTCCATGGTGACAGTGTACTGCTAGGGTGACAGTATGTAAAAAAAAAAATAAAAATAAAAAAATAATAATATAAAAAAAATAAAATAAAATGTAAAAAAAGTTTAAAAATTATAATTTTTGGTTATAAACTAATTTGGATTTTTTTTTTTTTTTACTAAAAAAATAACGGAATAAATTTTGGCTAAGATTTATGATGAAATATTATTTATTTGCAAAATTTTATTTAAAAAAACACTTTTTTTCAAAATTTGTGAACTTTTTCATTTACATAGTAAAAAAAAATAAAAATCCCAGCGGTGAATAAATACCACCAAAATAAAGCTTTATCTGTCTCAAAAAAAATGGTAAAAAATTCATATGGGTACAGTATTGCATGACCGTGCAATTGTCATTCAAAGTGTGATAGCGCTGAAAGCTAAAAATTGCCCTGGACAGGAAGGGGTAAAAGTGTCCGGACAGGAAGTGGTTAAGTAAAAAAATCTGAGTTGTCCTTTTCTAGAAGCACCTTTTTATGCTTCTTTTTACTGCAGCTTGTGTAAGCTGCTTAGTATGGCAGTATATACCTAATCTAATATCACCCGAATTTCACTTTTTACATCTTTTGGTTTGCCAGTACTATACCGCAGGTTTATAGATATATCCCTATACAGAGTCTAAGTTTAAAAATTGTGTAAAACTAGAAGAGGAAAAAGTCATGTTGTGAATAATAATTCTAGTTTTTAGTTTCTAATATTACTCTGGAAAGAGCACTGTTGGAATGAGTTTGGTTTCTATGAAAAGTGCAGGCAGTATTCATTGATGGAACATCAATACTAAGAAGCTACCACATGGTGGCTACTGTGTACCTTAAGATATCAAGGGTTGCTTTACACAGGACTAGAGCGAACACATTGTCAAAGTAATGGCTTGTAATGTTCGCTAAAATGGTTTAAAGTAAGCTTTCAGAGTATTAAATTTCCTCTGCTAGATATACAGACAGACGTTCTGTAATAATGCAAGCAATCAAAGCACATACAAAGCTTTTCAGTTTAAAGCAGACCTTCAATCCTCTCTCCTGATTTCCCCTTCTTTTTAAACAAATGTATAAAAAAAAAAAATTTTTAAATGTAACACAGACCCCAGACTGAGCTGGCTGTTTGATCCCAAGTTCCATTCCCTGATAGGCACATGGTAGTTTAGTCACTAAGTCTCATTATTTTCATGTTCAATTTGCGGGCATCCATGTTTAAGGCAGTTTTTATTTTATTGTGCTGCTCTTGCATTAGGATGCTTGCAGTCATATGCATTAGATTACGTTTTTCCTCTTTTTCTCTGCAATCCTATTGCTTCACTTTCACCTGCAATCATTTAAACTGAATAATGATTTTAATTAAGCA